CTCTCTTAAAACCAGTCAGTATATATATTTTACAATATAGGCGTTAAGGCTTTGTTATTCTCTTTTTTTAAAGATAAAGCAAATACATTTGGGTTGTTTTTATTATACCTACTCGTGCAACCAATATTTTGTTTTTTTCGGTATAATATTTTAAAAACATTGTTTTTTATTACTTTCGTCTCTTCCATTTACTTGTTGAATAAATTTTGTATGTGTGACAATTATAAAACCGATGTCTTTCAGCATTTTTAGTTAAGCATAACATTTCTTGGTGCAATTTCTTGGCGACGGTCACGTTTGGACAGTCCAAAAGAATATAAACCGATATCGATTTTATCGATACATTTAATCCAAATTTGAAAAGATATTAAGATATAAATATAGATTTTTATGAAAAATGTGCGAGGTTGTCCTGTTTCTTGGTCATATTTAGAGTTTTTTTTTTAATATTTAACCTTTTGTTTGTTTTATTTTATTCAAAGTACTCAACCCTTTACCTTTCCGTAAATTTAATTACTTAACTCTCCCCTTTTTAGCTCACCTGGCCCGAAGGGCCAAGTGAGCTTTTCTCATCACTTGGCGTCCGTCGTCCGTCGTCGTTAGCTTTTTACAAAAATCTTCTCCTCTGAAACCACTGGGCCAAATTTAACCAAACTTGGCCACAATCATCATTAGGGTATCTAGTTTACAAAATGTGTCCGATGACCCCGCCAATTAACCAAGATGGCCGCCATGGCTAAAAATAGAACATAGGGGGTAAAATGTAGATTTTGGCTTATATCTCTGAAACCAAAGCATTTAGAGTAAATCTGACAGGATAAAACTTATTATCAGGTCAAGATCTATCTGCCCTGAAATTTTCAGACAAATCTGACAACTTGTTGTTGGGTTGCTGCCCCTGAATTGGTAATTTTAAGGAAATTTTGCAGTTTTTGGTTATTATCTTGAATATTATTATAAATAGAGATAAACTGTAAACAGCAATAATGTTCAGCAAAGTAAGATCTACAAATAAGTTATTGCCCTTAATAGTCAATTTTTAACAATTTTTCGTAAATTTTTGTAATCTTTTACAAAAATCTTCTTCTCTGAAACTACTGAGACAAATTTAACCATACTTGGCCATAATCATTATTAGGGTATCTAGTTTAAAAATTTTGTCCGATGACCCCGCCTTCCAACCATCATGGCCAACTTGGTTAAAAATAGAACATAGGGGTAAAATGCAGTTTTTGGTTTATATCTCTGAAACTAAAGCATTTAGAGCAAATCTGACAGGTGGCAAAAATGTTCATCAGATTTAGATTTATCTGCCCTGAAATTTTCAGACGAATCCGACAACCCGTTGTTGGGTTGCTGCCCCTGAGTTAGTAATTTTACAAAAATTTTGCAGTTTTTTGTTATTATCTTAGATATCATTATAATATCTAATATCTAATACTATTAATTATGATTTTAACCTTATTTTACATGATTTCCAAAGCATCAGTAAATACAGGTGAGCGACACAGGCTCTTGAGAGCCTCTAGTTTAATATATCAAACTCTCAACCCTTCCATTTTTTTATTTTAAATACTAAACCCTTTCCCTTTTTATTTCATTTTAAATACTCAAACCTTTCTCTTTTTTTTATTTCTTTACTTATTCAACCTTCATTCTTCTAATTTTATAGCAAGTACTCTACCATTTCTCTTTTTTATTTCATTTTAAGTACTCAAAACTTCCTGTTTTCATTTTTCATTTTCATTAAATAGTTCTCAATTCATTCTCTTTATCTTGATATGTGGGAATTACCAAGAGTTACTTTGAAGAGCGTTTATAGGAAACCAGAGAAAAAAAAACCCAGTCAATTCTTTAATTTCAGTATAACAGACGACTAAAACTCAGGTGCATGTGAAACAATACTAAATTTTATAATCTAGATATCGCAAGGACAGTCAATACAAACTGACAACAGCGAGTACTCTCTAACAGTTATATATTTAGTGACGTTTTTACCTGTGGTTGTAATATTGAATAAGGCCCATAATTTCATCACACTCTTTACCAAGTTTGATGTATAAATACCTGCTGGAAAAGCCGAGTTTTTGAAAACGCCCATAACCATTGAAATCAACAAGATTGACATACCGTAGCAAAATGTCTCCCGCGCTTTTCACAAATTAAAACACTGGAATCTAAGATAACCGATTATGTGGAAATGCACATTTGTCATAAAGAGCAAATTCCTGTTAATGTCATTAATCTTTATGACAGCTATTCAAGAAGCATGCAAACTGAAATCTGTATCATAGTTACTGCTAGTAGGATGATATCGCTGTTGGTGGACTGATCATCCCCAAGGGGACCATCCTCCCAATAGAAAGATATAATTGTAAATGGAAATAACACACATACAGTTTTTGCGCCCGAGGCGCTTTTCTGAATTACTTAATCAGGAACGATCAAACTAAATCATTTGAAAACCAATGATGTATAAATACACGAACAAGTTAAGGGAGCTATGATATCAGAAGGGATCTAAAAAAAAATAGCCGAATTCATTTATTGTCAACCACTTGAGGGAGTTGGAATCTTAGTTTTCTTCGTAATTTCTAATTCTATCAACGGTGAATTTATGGAAAGTTTGTTATAAATCATGTCAGTACCGAATCACTGACTACTTACGGCTGATGAAATGCTGAGTACTTCAGCTCGGTTGTATAATGATATTGTATTAAAACTAATATTGCAATTCCCTGATTACTTGCTATTGACCTTTTTGGTGTTGATGCTCGAAATTATTTAAGACGTTATTTTTTCAAAAGTTTGACATCCAACTTGCCTAATCAAAATTATTTCAGAAATTTATGTCTGACTGGTGCACTGAAGCAGCACCATATTACGTTTATTATGCCCCGCATTTTTTTTTTCACATCATCATGTTTATTATGTTGCGCTAAATTACGGTTTTGACCCCGATTTCACTGCCACTGAACATTGAAATATAGTGCGAGCGGGGCATGGTATCGTATGGTAACTGATTCTTGTATTAAAGATTATTTCTTGTAGAATTTCATTTTCATGAATTAAAAAAAATATGTGTTACAGATTCAATTTGACATAACGAATATCTAAATCTGTAATTACCAATATAAAAACAAAAATAATTACGAGAAGTCATAACTAATTCTAAATTTCAAAATAACAAATAAAATCTCTTTTGAAATCCGTAATAATGAATCGGCATTTGAATCTTAAATGCTTTAAAAGGGGCTTCCATACACATTTGATTTTGAAACCTCGAAAGTAAAATGATCACTTGTTTTTAAGACTGCTTTATAAATTAATGAATTCAGTACATATGTTATATTGTATTTACCACTTCTATTCCCACATAACGCGCAGAAAATATTGTTAATAATAAGCCCAAAGATCGTGTTTGTACCTTGAAAGACTTTAGGCACGTGTACTTTACCTTTCGGAACTCACATGCACGACATTATTATAATTCACATTTAGATAATTATAGAATATTGAAATATTGAAAAAAATATTTAACAAATAACCGAACAACACATCATAGCAATTCACGAATGCGCGTTGTGCATGAATTAATTGTCCTTCTTGTTTAATTGAGAGTTGATTATTGTTGGATATTGGAATTTTTGGATAAGTCATTCATATTATTACATTGATATTGGAATTTTTACTGGAAATAAAGAAAAAATGCAAGGAACTATATCTTTTTTATGCATTCTCAACGTGTTGATGCAACTTCATCGACAAAGTCTTGACAACAACAATTGAATAACATTATAAAAAGACAAATAAAGATGGCTAGAACCCATTTGAAAAAAAATGGCAATTATTGATACAATGAATGTTCAAACCCTGTGCCACTGGATTTTCTTATGTATTTCAAATTAGGCAAAAAAAAAAAAACTCTTCCTTTTTCAGATGGAACCACCAGAAACATTTCCAATTTTTAATTTTTTGGATTTCACTCCTGAAGGCATTTTCAAATTCCAAAATGTATACTTCTATTTATTATTAGCATTCATCAAAATGGTTTATAAAAGGTTATATATTTTTACAATACTCAAAACGCATAATATTTTATCAATTATTTACCATAATTAGTTGTTCCCGTAGTTTATAATGTAAATACATGAGATTTTTATTTAAGCATAAACATCGTGACACGATTAAGGGTTTACAGAATCAATGTATTCATTAAAAGTCAGAAATACTGATAGCTTAATAGAACGTAATACGCTTTCGACAAATCACTGATAAACAGAATAATACACTTGTATATAATTTAAAGGATCATAACTGTCAAGTTTTGATACAAGTTCAGAATCGATCACTCAGCATGACTGATATATTTCAATGTTTCTACATATAGTTACATGTAGTACAAACCGTTACGTTTTCGTTGTAAACATAAAATATAAAAAGACAAACACGTCCTTTCAGCTTGTATTGGACAAATCTTAAATATAACATCCACTTAACTTTTGACGTCATCATCCGTTTTAAATGTTTCTGAAACAAATTGGCAACACGCCTCAGTCTTTAGTATTCTGTGTAGTGATTTTGGACTTGTTTGTCATTTTGTCGTTTTTTGTTTTTTGTTTTTTTTTTTATTTTGCCATGGCGTTTGTCATTTTCTCCTCGACTTCAAGACTTTTGAGTTTTAAATGTTCCTTTGGTGTCTTCCGCCTCTTTTTTAAAACAAACCCCCTAGCTGAAGCCAATGTGTTAATTGAACACTAACTTGACCAAAACTTACAAAATTTTTGGTTATTCCACCAAAATATAAAACTGATGTTCCAGCTACAAATACAGAACATAATATTTCAAAATTGCAATGAGTATTTTAATTTAAAAATGACATCCGAAAGAAATTGTCAGATTTTAAGAAAACTACTCTTATGTCTTCAACTTTGTTGTGCCGTTTGATTGCTGTCTCATTGACATATTGATATACTTACTTTATGGTTTTTTTACAGTAATGGAAAAGGTTGTCCTGCAGAGTGCCCTCAAAGATATTTAGGACCTTGGTCAAAACGAAGTATAAATGCGTACAAAAGAAATTCTAAGCGAGCTTTCCATCCACATTCAGATTTACGGGGCATCTCGTAAGTACATTCACTTTGTTAAATGCTTCCATAATTTTACATAAATGTTGGGTACCAAATGTTTGATCTTGATTTTATGATGTGTAATAATTTATTTTACTGTATGCCTTATCTATATTTTTTGTGTTCTATTTGTATATTTATCACAAGCTTGTTGAATAAATGGCAATAAAGATTTAAGTTTAAATTGAATATAGAATTGCTTTGGTAACATACAGCATTGTTTATGCATTTTGCTTATACTATATGAGATAATATTACCGAAAACATTATCCCAAGACTATTTTTGCAAGCATAATCTCTAACCTTAATAATCCACCTGGAGTTGTCCTGGTTTGATAGTTATGGTACTATGGATCTATTGAAGACTGCTGACTCATGTTCAGTTCTATATCGATATATGGGAAATATTTTTTATTATCTAATTTCAACTTTTCTCATTATTCAACTTCAGAATTCGTCACTTTGGCCGTAATTATCTTTCTTTCAAAAATAAATAGTGAAGAATATAAATATTTAAGGTTTCAGACCCCCCAAAAAATGGACTTTATGAGGAAAAAATAAAGGATGCTAATGAATGTTTCCTTATATTCTAATAAATGTATGGGGTGCGGCAGGATTGCTAACGAGAAAAAATATTTTAAGACCAAATGACAAGGATGTAAGCAACTACAGGTCACCGTATGGCCTTCAACAATGAAGAAGAATTTCACTTCCGATATAATAGCTTCATAGATATAAGAAGATGTGGTATGAGTTCCAATGAGACAACTCTCCATCTAAGTCACAATTTGTAAATGTAAACCATTATAGGTCAAAGTACGGCCTTCAACACGGAGCCCTGGCTCACACTGAACAGCAAGCTATAAAGGGCCCCAAAAAAGGCTAGTGTAAAACCATCCAAACAGGAAAACCAACCGTCTAATCTATATGTTTTATAGGTCAAAGTACGGCCTTCAACACGGAGCCTTGGCTCACACCAAACAGCAAACTATAAAGGGCCCCAAAAGGCTAGTGTAAAACCATTCAAACAGGAAAACCAACCGTCTAATCTATATGTTTTATAGGTTAAAGTACGACCTTTAACACGGAGCCTTGGCTCACACCGAACAGCAAGCTATAAAGGGCCCCAAAAATGACTAGTGTAAAACCATTCAAACAGGAAAACCAACGGTCTAATCTATATAAAAAAACGAGAAACGAGAAACACTTATGAACCACATCAACAAATGACAACCACTGAACATCAGGACTTAAGTCATGTATATATTAATTGCTACACGCCCTAGTATACACAGCTACATTTGGACATGCACCTTTTTAGTACTATAACTTCACAGTACTAAAAATGTACCTAAATAATGTAGTACCTCCATACTATTGTAATAATCGAGTACCAACATTTTACAGTACTAAATTTTTTACTAAATATTTAAAGTACTAGTTCTGTACCTCCATTGTGTAGTACTATGAAGGTACAATAATTATAATTTTAATCGGATACGTAATCTTACTATTTTAAGTGCAATAGTTTTACTGCAGTGGACTGGTACAAATAGTTTTTGTTCCTAAAATGTACTACACATTAAAAGGAAAAAAAAACTGTTACTTTAAACTTGAAGTACAAATCCAGTACTGTGAAATTGCGCATATGAAATAGTACCACTTTGAAGTACTTAAAAAAGTCCTACATTATTTAGGCATATTTTCAGTACTTCAAAGTTACGGTACTCAACAAGTACAAAAGCAAAAAGAAGTTGTGTAAATGGAAAATTATTCTTTAATATAATAAAAGAATACTGTACACGTTGAAAAATTAGTATGACTATGTATATCATAATTAGTACTACAAGCATTTGAACTTGCAAACATGCTGAATTTGTAGTGATTAATTTATCGTCTTGTTGTCTGAAATACCAATACAGGATTCATTTTTTGTATACTATATATTGTGAAGATGGTTATGCCATTAAAAAAAACATCATATCGCTTAGGCTATTGAGAATTTCATTTACAGTCACACACTTGAGAAAATTTACCCAGAACGCTGCAGATTTGAAATGTCCTATTTATTGCAAGGCTTGAATGACACACATACCCCATCTTATTTATATTATCAAAACATTACAAAGATAAATCATTGCGGTTTTTTCTATATAAAATAAGGAGATTGATTGATTTATTTGTTTGTGTTTTAACTCCATTTTCAACTCACTATTGGCTATTTCGTTGTGGCTAAATAAGGAGATATGGTATGATTGCTAATGACACAACTATATACCAGAGTTCAAATGACGAAGATACAAGCAATTATAGGTCACCGTATGGCATTCAACAATGAGACTCATTATCCGTATCTATAATGCAAACTAAATGAAGTGAATATAGTTCATACTATGGAAAATTATGAAGGATAATAAAATTTTAATCAGAGATTTAACTATAACGAAGCATGCTTTCGGTGTGATATAAATTCAAAGCTAAATTGTCATGATTTTAACAAACTTAGTTGATTTGTTTATCAGCACGTCTTTGACCTTTCCGGTATGTTTCACGATCAACTATCTTCCTAATCAAGACTTTATGCATGAGTTTTAGTGCTTTAAATGACTTATAAAACCATTAACAGTATACACTCCTTTTCAACTGAAGCGACAGTTTTCCTTTGAATATAAGTTTTATAAAAAACCGTAAACCAAACGCAAGAAAATCTTTTTCAAAGTAATAATGAAGTGTAATAAATTGCTCTCATTGAATTAAAAAATTATTACACATGTCTTACCTGCTCCTGCTTTAAAGGTAAAATTTATTTGAACTTATAAGATGTAAGCCATGTTCAAGAAAAAAGTAAAATCACAAAAATACTGAACTCCGAGGAAAATTCAAAACGGAAAGTCCCTAATCAAATGGCAAAATCAAATGATAAAACACATCAAACCAATGGATAACAACTGTCATACTCCTGACTTGGTACAGACATTTTCAAATGTAGAAAATGGTGGATTGAACCTGGTTTTATAGCGCTAAACCTCTCACTTGTATGACAGTCGCATCAAATTCCATTATAATCACAACGACGCGTGAACAAAACAGACATAATAGGTAACATTGTCAAAATATGTATACAGCAGTCATCACTGTGTCACAATTCCAAAACAAACAAACATTTAACAAAGAAGTACAAAAAGCATCTATCAAATTTAACAACCACATTCATTGCTTTCTTATATATGTATTTTAAATCAACCCATAAAGGATTGAAATATTTAAAGTCCTGTGACTGCATTCACATCTACTCTTAGTGTAGAGTCGTGTGTTCGACGCCAGAAAATGTAAACGTCACACAGGAAGAAATATTAAATGATTTTGTCGTTCAAAGTATTATCAAAATTATAATTTCACATGGGGAATGGTGGTATACTGGGTTGAAAAATCAACAGTTTTTGTTAGAACTTATTTCAGAAAAAGACCGAGATTTAAAATTATCCAGAAGTTCTTTAGAATTTTTAAGAATCCACATATGGTTAATACCACTACGCGAGTAAAATAATATTTGTCGTTCAAAGTATATTCAAAATTATAATAGAACAATAATTAACATAATGGTATTATAATAGAACAATAACAAAATAGCGGGATCTTTAAAAGTACAGAGCCACGTCATATGTACCAAAGAAACATATAAAGTCAAACGTACAAAACACACCAGCAAAAATGAAAGGTAATAAAAACACATTGACGGGATGTTTAAGTACCGAGCCACGTCAAATGGATATCACAGAACACAGACCAAACAGTAAAAGTAATATTTATAATAGAACAAAGACAAATAAAAGAACAATATAACACGTTATTAAGATGATAAGCAACTTCAGTACGCAGAATCTATACATCAAGACCATCATGTATTATTTGTGAAGTTGATACGGAATATATTCGTTGCAAGGTATAAGTTTTATCATAGAGTTCTTGTTAAAATTAAATCATGTGTTCTACCAGGGGCGATCCGAGCCGGAGCACTCCTGTCAGACCACCCTAGCTCGAGTTTCTTTGTTCTGCATGCTTTCCTTTGTTCTGTAACATTTTTGGCAGGAACGTCAAATCAACACTAAAACTTAGAAATATTTATACGGAAAAGACTTACTATCAAAATTTGTGTAGAAAAAATCCAGTATCTATGCTGGGAACTCAAGACCTTTAGCATATAGACCCACGAGTCATACCACTACACCAGGACGACTGGATACAAACTATGTTAATTTAACATATTTAAACATTGTGTTCGGGGCTCATAAAGGGTATATACTATATAGTAATATATAAAGTATATTATAATGATTGTGTGGCGTTCTAAACTAGATTTTATGAAGCGTGAAGGTTTTTATCTAATCTAGAACAGCTTGGATGTAAAATAGTTATCCAATTCGGACTTGAAGTGCCAGTGTAAGATCACCCTCTGGCCGGAGACCAGATGGTGACACTGATCTTACACTGACACACCGCGTCCTCGTAGGATAACTATTACTTAAACGACAGTGATGTAAATAATGTAATCCTTATGTCCATTCTTTTGTTGGTCTAATCCTCGTGAACCTGTGAATATATTTAACTACTACTCGTGAACCAGTGGATAGATTGAGGTGAATTTTAGAAATTCTGAAGAATATAATGTCATTGTGCATCTCTTTTTCATGTATTTAGCAAAAAATGTTCTTTCCAAAAGAAAAATATGAACTTTTCCGTATCTATAAAAACGAGTAGTCGTCTCTTCCCACACTGCTTACTGGATTTCAGAGAATTTCAAATACCTAATGATAGTGTTTACTTTGTATTTTATTTTAAATCCAATGCTTTTAAGGAGTTTCCACATGGACTTTTCCGCAATAAAATAAAAGGACAAGTTTGCCATTATTTTTTATTACCTCTGTCCATTAAAAATATTTCTCTTCTAGGTTTGACGATTACGGTTGGTTTATGAAACTGTTGGGCCGGAATAATATTTGAGAGTGAGTATTATCTATTGTCTGGTTCGAACAAACTATTTATTAAACATTAAAGATACATTCTACAATGAACAAATGTTTATAAAGTTTAGTTTGAAACAAGCAAATATTGCTTAAGTCAATTTGTCTCTTCAAATTATTAATAAGATGGGTATCGACTTGTCACTAAAAGGATTAATAATTGTTAAATTTAGATTTAGCTTTACAAGTGTACCAGAGCAAATAATCTCTTTTTTTTTAAAGTTTAAAATTAAAGAAACGTGCTGAAACAAATAATAAATGAAAACAAAAGTTCTTAAAAAAAAACATAATTTTATGATTTGTATGAGAGGAACAAAAATTTTTAGATGTAAAACAGATATCCTAAAACCGCTTTAACCATGCATGACACACTCGACCGTAAGAACGTATGTCAGTTCCATACGCTTAATTGGCTGTTGCAGGATTTTAAAATTTTCTTCGATATAAATAAATATTACGCTTTATCATTGATTGATTGGTTGATTGATTGATTGGTTTATGTTCAGGAATATGAATTATTGTAATACACATGTGTCAAAGTGAAAACGAGACACAACATGTTAGCAAGTTAATGTCTTGTCACACACTCGAGGTCACACACAGAGTAGATTAGTCCTAAATCACACTTGACAAATTGGATTCCTATTATATTAGATAAGTATTGCTAGAAAGTTAATGAGCTTCTAGAATTGTACCATCCTTGTTCCAAATGGAAGTGACGTTATATCACAGTCAACGAATGTCACGTGGATTAGCCGATAATCAAGTTTGGCATTCAGATTCCCATTACATTTTATTTACAAGAAAGTTATTGAGCTTTTACAGTAATATTGGTTTTCTTAAGCATACCTTTGTTACAAATAGTGTATACTAAAAGTATACGGATATCGAATTCTGATTGATTGTGTTTTTTTTTAATTTCAGGTGCGGAATCAAGCTGGTTCCTGTATACACTATAATTAAGAACAATGGAATCTCAAAAACATGTATACAGATATATACCTGAGAAAATACTTCCAAAGGATAAAGCAAATATTTAAATATTACAGAAACTTTACATTTTCATTCAGTTCATTATACCCCACTCTGGCTAAGTAATGCAAATATTTAGTGATCATTGCGAACCCACTTTGTTCTTTCGTCCGTACATTCGCTTGTCTATTCACACTTAGTGTAGTTCATATCCATTTTGTTGTTCGTTGCTTATAGTGGTTTCACACAGCAAAACATATCCTATATCAAATCCACAAGAGGCGGTGGGGCATTCTGTATACGCTACTTCTTCTGGACTAGTGACTGGCTCCTCTAAACGTAATCTGACAGGATTTCAATGAAACATTCACAGAATCTTCAGTACCTAATCTATTGTGCACATCCTTTTTTTATTTTCTGATCTGAATGATTTTTAGAACTACCATAGTCGCCTTATCTTTTCAAACGGGAGGAGAGCGAGAGTACACATATGAGGATTTTACTCATAGCCTTTTTTGTTTTTGTTTATTTTTAGTTTTATTAGAAATTATGCTTACAGCGGGTCTGTAAATCTATTGTTTATAAAACATGTTCTATACATATATTTTTGAGTGTGTGATATTTATTTAAAATGTAAGAATTTATTTGTTTTTAAATTAAAAAATGTTTTCAATGTGAAAATACAACAGTTCTTTTTCTTATCAATTTTCAGTCTTTATTTTTCATTTCATATATAAACCGTTTCGGATGTTTCTAGGTAGTGTTTTCGCCTTGAATGTAGCAAGTCATGGGTTCTCACCCGGCCGTGTCAAACCAAACACTGTAAAATTGATATTTGCTGATTCTCCGCTAAGCACCCGACATTTGGGAGTAAGAGCAAAGACTGGTCAACTCGAAGTCAGAATGATGTGTCAGGGTAGGGTGACATGTCTTCCTACAGACTGTTATTTTGTGAACTAGCACGTTGAAAATCCGGCTCAACGTGTCGGTCAAGTACAAATCATGATTCATATTCATATCACACTAACATGTTTTCGTCCTGAATATGCATTTCATTTGCCACTGGACGTTAAAAATTCATCCATCTATCCATTTAATTCATATTTTTTATGACTTAGACATGTATTTCTAATAATACATGTACGTGTATGCTTATACTTCTTGACTAAACTCGTGTTAAATGTAAGAATATATACGCTTAAAAAATAATTAAAATTAAGCTTGTACATGTAGTTGATGAATTATCGGCAAGCTTCTAAAAATAAACCTATACGAGGTAACCCAAACCTGAAGACGTAATACATTCTTTATTTGTAGAAATTGTTTCACAGTGGTATGCAAAATGTTTTGCCTGAATGAAAACATTTTGAACCCCACTTGCGCGTCGGTTAGCATAAAACACTCGTATAAATTGCAACACCAATTGCAACTTACACATATTGTTTTTCGATTTGATATAACTCGTACTGGCTGAGTTTTCATCGTAGTTTCTGCTTCAGTTAATGTTTTTCCAAACATATGACAATGTTTATTAATAAATGAATACATTTTTTTTTTCTAATTTAAGACTTCAAATATTACCAGTAATGGGGAACATTAGGCTAAATTAAATTTTGAAAAAAATCATCAAATAACAATATGATTTACAAATGCAAGAGAAAATATGTTTTCATTCCCATATTTGTCTGTTTATACCGTAACCTATAATATAAACAGAATTCGAATATGACGTGCTTCTTTCGCTTTGTAAACAACACCGTGATAAAATTCTCGATATATCTATACTTAGCGCAGACTCAGAGATGTGCATATTGGTGGCTGTTACTATTTACCTCCCACGTAAATCCACATGTATCGTAACCTATGTGCAAACACTATGTCGATTTCGTTGTGTTCAAATTGAAATTGAAAAAGAAACTACAGAACCGTTATTCCTATTATAATGCATAACAAAAAGAATTAATTCACAAGAGCTTAAAAAATGTATAAAATCAAAATAAAATAAAATTCCGCGAAATTTCATGAATTATCTTGGCACATTAACGTCGTGTCATAATATGACGTCATACGAACGAAAACTCTCAAGCTGATGGTTTTCCGTAATGTATACGCCCTAAATTCGGATAATATTGCATTAAAATGGAGTTTTGAGGTAGCTGTTGTTTCATTTTCTATTCCATTGCATTATTTGCACATTTGTAGATTTTAGCAAGTCAACATGGCGGCTCACTCCTTAGTTACGACATGTCAACTCTGGATTTGAAAGTAAATAGTAGCCAACGAAAAAAAAATATTTTGGTTAAGAATTATGACATATGGCAAAATCAAAGGTACTTTATTTAAATCATTTGCACCACGTGACTTTGTCCCTTTTGATCAAATTACTTCCCTTAGCTTAAGATTGAAAATATAATTTATTATAGATTTGCGGATAATCCAGTCCTTTTCCGTCATGTACCTAAACTTCCTTTGGCGGATATTTACAAAAATGCTGTGTAAATTCTAAGGGAAAATGCTTAAAATTTGACTTTTTACGAAATGGGAAGGTTGAAATCATCATGTTTTTAAAAGAATTTGGCCGAAAATTCAAGAAAGCAGGTGGTCCGAGTACACAGTTATTTCGTAGTGCATTTCTTTTAGACAATAAATGAAAATTAAAAAAATCCCACCTGCGCTTTCTCAATAATATTTTTACAGTGTGTTGTACTACTTTTGGGACAAATTATATCAAAATTATAGAAAACTTCATCGGCTCTAACTCAAAATATGGACAATTTCATATTAAGGGGGTCTTCAAATCTTTTGACAGCTTCCGAAGTGCTAATTTTTAACATTTTTCAGCTGGACCAAATCACTACTTTACTTTAAAATTCATGACCCAAATTTTTTTACAGTGTCATTTCACCCCCCTACTTACTATTTGAGTCATAAAACATGGAGAAATAAATTTGGAAGGGGTATAAAAAAAATCGACAAGTAACACACTGTCCACACTAGGGACTATATTCGTGGACAACGAAAGGACAACGAAAATCAAAGGACGATAACTGTGTACCCGGACCAGGTAAGTTAAAAGTTATTTAACTTCAAAATTCAACCTACAAGGTGTTTCCCTATATGCGAACAAATCATGAACAATATCTTCTTGCATGTGTATTTCTGTTTTGAATCTTGCTATTTTACGATTTTACGTCATTTTATTTGATCTTATATAGCAAGTACACAATGGTTACGCTTCCGATTTTTAAACTAAAAAGGCCGAAAGATTTCAGAGTAGACAATGTCCATTTGTACACGGACAGAAGCCTAAAAACATGTACAATTCACCTATATGCGAACAAATTGTTCATTCGACATAGGTATTTGCATATTGGCATTTTTATTAAAAGGGCTTATATAATCATATTGTAATGGCTGCCGTCATGATAAGGCAAAATGGCCGCTATGCAAATTAGCAAATTACCCCAAATTTTGCCATATGAGAATTGAACACATTTTTTCTAGTGCTTATTTAAGAAATAATTCATGTAAGACTTAGATTTCTTTGAAATTTGTAGCTTTTATCTTACAGGGGGTAAAATAGAACAGCCATACACACGGCAATCTTACCTTCGCTTCAGTTTTTTAATAACCGTTTTTGTCCTATTAGAATCGAAATAATTCGTGGAAGCCATAGATCTGTTGGACATTTACACATGGCCTGGGCCGTGATATTCGTTAATTTTATCCCTCGCTAACGCTCAGAATAAAATTCGAATATCACGGCCCAGGCCATGTGTAAATGTCCAACAAATCTATGGCTTCCATGAATTATTTCTTAAACAGTATATAGGCATTAAAGATTAATTCATTATTATGTTATAAGCTATTCAATTTGATATTTTCTGAACATTGAATTCATGATATAGGTTGTATTTATCATTTCAGGACAAATTAAAGACTAATTATGTATGTTGTAACAATTTAAAATGAGGGGATAACATGCTTCGTGTAGTTGGTTGGATGTAGTTAGTTAGGGGAAGTTTGTGTGTAGGAAATCGTTTTCCAACTGAAACTCTCGAAAAGGTTATAATATGTTCTACATTCTGAGTAAGGCGACCGACGAGCGTAACTTGCAAATATACACAGATATGTGAAAAGCACCGATTGTATTGCATAAAGAATAGGCTGCTTACGGTGGGATACAAATTTGTAGAAATAAAAATATATTTCGAGGAAAGGAAATACCAGTTGAGTTTGTCCTTGTTCATGTCAATGATCCCCGTTAGAGAAACTAACGTTCTAAAGCAATATTCTGAAATAATATTTCATTTTCCTCTGGTGGTGGACTGTTCATCAAGATTATCACATGCCCAGTAGCTCAGTTCTTCGGTACTGGCATGAAAATATGGATATTGCTTTATTGAAATTTGCTGTTAATAAAACTTAGAAAACGGTTTTAAACTATAGAATGCGTTTGTCTCATGCATAGCTCTGACTCCTTGTACGGGTTTGGCTATACTTTTAATCTTTTTGGGAATTGAATCAGCTCTTCAACGTTTGTATTAGTTTTTGGATTATTAAACATTTGGCCTCGAGCATCACTGAAGAGCCACTAGGTATCGAAATGCGCATTTGGTACAGTAAAATTGGTAACGTTAATATTAATACAAACTGCTAATGTCACTCAATTTTTCATTTACGTTCACTTACTCAAGGTCAGAAATTTCTGGGGGGTTAATATGTAGTTATTCAATAATCCACTCAATTGTTATTAAGGCATGGCCATTTTCAACATCAGCAAAAAGTAAAACGCACCAAATTTCATGTAAACTAAAATACGTCATGATTATTTTGCTCCCAAAATGTGTTTCCGGATTAACCTTCATTCGGTTTTCTCGTGACTATCATTGTATAAAATGTATAAAAGCATAAAAAAAAAACATTTTATGAAATATAGAAGAGCATAAAAGCAAATGGCATTTTATAAAATGTTGGAGAGAATTATTAATAAAAACAAAATGTTGTTAAATGTTGAAGAGCATTAAAAGGGAAGATATTTTATAATTGTTGAGACACAAACGTACTTTTATAAAATGTTGAAGAGCCATTTACAGCAAAAAGGCTTTAGACAAACAAAAACGTTTGAGGTATACTTTGTCTGATGACGTTACAATCTCACAATTGGCCAATCACATAATCTTATGAGTACAATTTTTAGATACGATAAAATTGAGAATGGAAATGAGGAATGTGTCAAAGAGACAACAACCCGATGTATCTTTAAAATCACGCCAAATACCGAAGCACTTCGTTAAATGATGTTCATTTCACGATCACCCCGTTCTCGATAAAATCTTAATTGAGACATGTAGCACATACCCATTAAAACAAACATATGAGTGGATTTTACGTTTTTCAACTACAATGTGCTCAAAATTTGCAATACAAAAACGAGTTTTTATATATGAGGGTTTGGATGGGGGTTTACAGAATAGAGAATAATGGGCAAAAAATATAAAGAATAGAGAAAAATGGACCAGAAAAAGAAAGAATAGAGAATAATGAGATGCTAAAATATAAAGAATATAGAATAATGGGTAGAAAGTATAAAGAATAGAGAAAAATGGCCTTACAAATTATAAAATACAAAAATGAAGGAACCCCCCCCCCCCCCTACCCCACCCCACCCCCCTCCCTCATCCAG